GCGGTCTCTCCTCCAACTTCAATGAATGGTACGTGTGAGGGGCCGGGGCCCCTCTCCCTCTCCCTCTCCCTCCCTCCTTGTCCCTGCCCCTTCCCCAGGCGCTGTGCCCAGGGTACCTTGTGATCGTGTTGTTAAAATCTGATTTTTATGATGATGAAAATGATTTTACCAGCTGAAGGATTTTTAACGTTTTTCTTTTTTTTTAAAGAAACAAAATCCAGGCATGAAAAGCAAAAAAAAAAAAAAAAAATTCTCTTATGAAGTCTTTGAACATATAAAAATATGAAATAAAAATGAAAAAATAAAAACTCACAAAAATGTTCAACCAACCCCCCTGCCAAGCCCCATGCTCACTTTCCTGCCTACTCGTCCCGAGTCTTCTGACAAACTGTGTACATAGTGGGACTCCTTCCTTCTCCGAGGTGATTTTAATGGGTTCTTGGTGTATAGAAGTTTGTCCATTTGTAAACTTTGGATTTCGTTCCTTCCTACCTTCCTCCCCTTCCCTTTCTTTCCCTTCCCCAAGTGACGGGCTTTTTCTCTTCTCTTTTTAGTTTACCTGGTTTCTTTTTTAAGTAATGTGGAAGAAAATGGTTTATTTTGTACTGTGGTATTGAATATTGTGTTCCTTTTATAAGGCAACTTGATTGTAAACTTCATGCAACTATAGACTGGGGGAAAAAAACCAAGCCGTGCCAAAGTCTCCCTCCGTTTCTTCAACACCAACCCGTAGCACACACATACACACCACCACCAACGCTTGTGAATGTATTTTTCTGTTAGCTGGGTTTACATGTGATGTTTTAGTGCTTTTGCAAGTTCAATTTGTTAGTTCCTGTATGAAAGATTGTGGGGGAAAAATAAACGTTGTGCCGTTAGCTTTTTCCGTAATAACACCCTTCCTTCTGTAAATACCCGTTACCATATTTATCCATTTGTAATTAAATTATGGTATTAACTTGCTACAGAGGAAACAATATTTATAAAGAATGTTTCTTAACTATAAATATGTACAATTGTGGGCATAAACTGTTTCAGATTTTTTATTTGAAGGTTTTAAGTGGTTTGATCATTTCTTGTGATATGTTTTGAGAGTAATGCATACAGAAATATAATAAAATGTGTTGAAACTGCATGAACCTACTATTCTTTTTTCTAGCAAAGTTATTTTTATACATGGGGAGGAGCAGCCAGGGGGTGGAAAAGGGTATGGATCAGAGTGGGAAGCACCACCATGCATTCTGGGGAGGAAAGTGTATGCATAGAAACCAGGCTGAACTGCCCCTTTGGCAGAAAGTCTCAAAATTATTTTCTACATCCTTTGTTTAGTAGCTGAGAGTGAATTAAATTTTTGGAAAGCCCCTGTGAAGAATGGCGGCAGGAACCTTCAGAGTTTCTAATGGCTCCATTATCTGAGGGAATGCCTTTCTTTCTTTCAGCTATTTGGACTGGATTTAAGAGCACTAAACATTTCCTTATTCTTTGTTTTCCCCCTTCCCTGCCCCCTTCCTTTCCCTCCCTCTGAAAAGCTGAGGTACAGTTATTTTTAATTGCACGTTTAAAACTGAGCTGAGTACTTTGTTTTTGAACTTGGCCCAATGATTATAGTTTAAAAGGGCCTGTTTCTACCAGAAGTTTTTTTTTTTTTTTCCTTGAAATTTTATGCAGAGAGCTTGCTCAAGAAATGCTGCTTATCTTTAAGCAGAGCAGCTCTGCACTAATCAGGGTATTCAAGAGAAGGTGATAAGCGTACCTTTTAATTTTCTTTTGAGGTAACAAGGAGGCAACAAACTGTCTGTCCCAAAAGAAAGAGAACCTTTGCAAAAATAAGGTAGACAAAGATACGAAGTTGCCAGGTAGAAGTACCTAAGTCACCAGCTTTTCTGGGAGGTTTGCAGCTTTACCTTAAGCCTTCGGAGTTAGAGTTTTCAGAAAAGATGCTCTCAGGAAGAAAGCAAAAATAATTTTAGTAACCAAGGGATAGGGACGGAAGAAGAAATTATGTCTAAATCCCTGAACCATTGAGACATCTTCCTCACCCTCTCCATGGGTGTCCCTAGATCTCAGAGAGGGCCTGGGCGGTCTCGGATCTCCTCCCACAGCGGCAAAAAGGTTGGAGGGGGGCCCTTGGCGGCGGATGCAACACCTCCATAGGGTCGAAGGCCTCCGCCAGCCGAGCCCTAGAGCGCGAGGTATGCGGTAGGCATTGCGGTCTCCTTTCACCCCAGCCCTTGGCTGAACTGCAGGCCAACCAGACAGAGCAGGCCGGAGGGCGCTTGGGGAGAGCAAGGCAACCTCCCCGAAGCCAGACTACCTGTTCAGTGGGGAGGGAGAGACTCCATCCATCCAGCCTGCAGTGTGAGATTCAGGGTGACACACACCAATCTCGCTCCCTCCCCAGCGGCCCTTTAGAGCTGCCTGAGCTCCAACTTCTGAAGCAATCAACTCTCTATTAAAATCAAATTTATAACCCCTAATAATATTAAGCAAAATTATTAAAATAATTGGCATATGTTACTGGTCCTTGAGAGAGTTCATTGAACACATTATAAGCTGTGAGGAAAATCGTTTAGGGTTTTCTCAAGTCCCTTACCCCCAGGGGGTGGGGGAGAGAGGAAGGAGTCAGATTAAATATTCATCATAACTCTGGGCCAGAATGGAACGGTCTCTTCCAAATGTTTTCAACTTTTTAATTTAGAAAGTGGAAATTGTTTGGTTTTGAGACACCTCCCATATCTGAAAAGGGTGGAATAAGGTGTAGGGGGGCAACTTTCTCATCAACTCAAGGTCTTGGGTTTTTTTCTTCTGGGTTGAGGGAAGAAGGAAGAAAAGTAGCACTGGGGGTTCCCTGGCTTTCTAGATCTGAAAGTCCGACAGCCATCCGGAAGGCTCCTTAGGTTGCCGGCGCTCATCTTAGTTTTCGGCAGGAAAATAAAATGTGAAGACGAACAAGGCGAAGAAGACCACAGCCTAAGATTGGTTCCTTAGTCTACCCTGGGATGTAGGGAGCCGGTGGGAGTAGTTTTCCTGCAAAATGGCTCCCAGTTCCTCCGCCCTCTCATCCCCGGGCTTTGTCCAAACAAGTCACCAAGCCGACCGTGTGGCCCAGTCTCCCTCTTTCGCCCTTCCCTTCTGCCCTTTGAATCTGGGGGACCGGACGAAGCGAGAGGGAGATGGCAAAAGTGCATCTCTGCATCAGAGACGTCAGATCGCGCGCAGGGGCTGGGAGCACAGGAGGCTGCGGGCGCTCTGGCTCCCGGGCATGGGGTACAGTAGGGGTGCGTGCGTCCTCCCACCTTCCCTGAGCCCCCACGTCGAGACGGACCTGAATGCTAACCTGCCCTTGCCTTGACTCCAGAGCCACAACACTGCCGCCCGTCCTTGCCTCCCTCAGGGACCCAGAGCTGAATCGGCCGGAGGACCGCGGCTGGCCGCCACCAGCCACCGCCATCAACTTGAACTTCAGGGCGCCCAAGCTCGCTCCCCGCGCGCTGAGCTGCATCCACCTCCGAGTAACTGCCCTCAACGGGAGAGTCGCTTTATCCGGAGGCAGCTGGAGCCCCCTCGGGAGACCCATCATTATTATTATTAATTATCGTGATCCTCACTGCATTTTTAATGACCACAGTGATAACTGCCATTGGTATCAGCTTCTCCCAGTTCAGTGATGTCCTCCGAACTCCCCGGCAGGAAAGAGGTCACTCCCAGAACAGAGCCCGCGTCGGTTCTGCTCCGGGCTTGGGCGAGGGGAGACTGGCAGGGCCGCGCTTGGGCAGGACTCAAGTAAAGGAAACGCGTCCCAGCCCGGCACACTCGTCCCACGCTGTCCCAGCCCCTTTCCTCTCCGCCGGCACCTTCTTTGCTCTTCCTCCAGCCCACCCCCTAGCCCCTTTGTCTCTTTTTCAGACGGATGTTTTCAGTCTCAAGTGGTTTTATCTTCCTCGAAAACCCTGAGATCAAGGGCAGATCACAGGCTGGACCGGAGGCTCGGGTTTCCCTGGACTCTGCTATTCTCCTGCATCCCTGGGGGTTGGCTAGGAAGGCCTGGACCCTCAAAGGGACGGATCTGCTTCCCTGGGTCGGCGGGGCTGGGAGAGCTATGTCCCAATAGGTCCTTTCTGGGCTTCCTAGTAGCATCAGAGACATGAACGAGAACCCACGAAGTGCCACTAGAGATTGAATCTTGCCTGTCCCCACATCATGTCACCAAATAATCCAAAGGGTGAACTAGGCCCTCTTCCAAGGATTAAGAAATGAAGGCGTCGAAATAACACCCGGTCAAGGGGTTGAATGTATTTTATTTATTTATTTTTCTTAAATAGACACGTGCCCCAGAAACAGCCCTCAGGATCCAGAGGGAATTCAGTACATACTTGTGGATCGATTGATTGTGTAGTCTGATACCACTCTGGTACCACAGGAACTTGGAGCTCCTCAGCCCACTGCTACCACCAGTTGAACTCAATGAATGGTTTTCATTTTTAACTGGCAGCTCTGAACCCAGCCTAGAGAAAAAATGTCATCCCTCCGGAAATGCCCTCCACCTCTCATCCCATACCCAGATGATTGTCTCTAGGTTTTTATTTTAGGGAAAAATCTTTCCAGACTGGATCTAGGGATCAAGCATAAACCCTCAAGCTTGTCCAACTGGGAGTCTTCCAAGGAAAAGGCAACTGTGTTGTTTTGAAACGGGTGTTACAAATGAGGACTCCTGTACT